AGCCCCTGGCCGGGCGCAGTGGCTCAGGCCTATAATCCCAGTCCTTCGGGAGCCTGAGGCAGGCAAATCACTTGAGGTCAGGAGTTCAAGACCAGTCTGGTCAACATGGTGAAACCCTGTCTCTACTAAGAATACAAAAATTAGCTGGGTGTAGTGGCGCACACCTGTAATCCCAGCTACTTGGGCAGCTGAGGCAGGAGAATTGCTTGATCTCGGGAGGTGGAGGTTGTGGTGAGCCAAGATCACACCACTGCACTCCAGCCTGGATGACGGAGTGACACTCTGTCTCTCTAAAATAAAATAAAATAAAATAAAATAAAATAAAATAAAATAAAAAGAGTCTAGCCTCTTGCCATAGCGTGCCATCAATTTTGGGGTGCTATTCATGCTCCCAAGCTGCGGTGGGACCAGGTGGGCAGGGCTAGACTCCTGCTGAGCCCCTTCCCAGCGCGCTCTGCCTCCCCCGCTGACTGCTGGTTTCTCTTGAGGGCCAGTCTCCAGGGAATCACCTGCACAGTCATGCCTATGTCAGGCTCTGCCTCCAGGGAACCTGGATTAAGGTGATGTGACTGGCGGAGAGGCAGGGAGGCCACGCCAGACAGCCATCTGAAAAACTCTGCCCCACCCCCGCAGAGCTTATTGAGAACCCAGCAGTTTAACTCGTGGAAGCAGAACCCTGACACTGGTCCCCCGGTGACCTGTGGCATTTAGAAATGGAGAATCCAGCAGGGCTGGCATTTAGAAAATGGGACTCTGGCATTTAGCAAATGGAGAATCCAACAGGGCTGCCGTCTTCCCACCTGCAACTCAGCTGTGCCCTTCCCACAGCCAGGGTCTAGGGTGGGACCGTGCATTCTCCAAGGGCAGGAGAGTTGCAGCCAGAACCTACCCACAAGGGACGAGGTGGCCAGGGCTGCCACGTTGTAGTTGCTGGGGCAGGACCTGGAGTCGGACAGGTAGCCGTTGGTGGTCTGGAAGCACCTCTGGAGGAAGGGGCAGGAGGAGTGAACAGGGTGGGCCAGGCTGCTGGCCTACATCCCTCCAGTCCCACCCATCCCATCTCCCAGACCACCAGGTCCTCTGGCCAGTGGGCAAGGACAGGGCAGCTAAAGCCAGAAAGATTCTACCAACTCCCACAGGACCACCCCCACCCACTGTTGCATCAGATTCTTGTCTTAGGGCTGGTGGGACTGTGTGCCTGGGCTGGGCACAGGGGATAGAGGGGCGATGGTGTCAACTGGGGCTGGCTAGACTGGGGGACACACAAGTGCACTGACCTGCCAAGGATCCCAACAGAAATCCATCTGTTTGTCCTAAAACAAGAGGAGAGAGAGGACCAGGCAGGGCCTGGCACGCTGTCCTGGCAGATGGCCCGAGTCCTGCGGCCCTGGGCGGGGATGGGGGTCAGCCTTCTGGTGCTCTGTGAGGTCGGGGTCTGCCCTCTCATGGGTCATGCTCTGGTGTCCCCTGGCATGCAGAGTAAGAAGGAAGAGACAACAGTGGTGCTGGGAGGAGAGGCAGCGGGTGCAGCTTATAGAGCAGGCTTGGGTGTGGGCTCTGACTTTGCCGTTTCCCAGCTGGCATCCCTAGCTTATTCCTAACAGCTCTGAACATGTCTCCTCCTCTGCAAAATGGCGACAATGTCATTCACCTCACGAGTTGTGGTGAGGCCTAAATAACGTAACGGAGGCTAAGAGTTGAGTGTGGTGCTTAGCAGGAGGTGAGGGCCGCTGGGGAGAAGGTAATTATATCATCCAGTGGGTTCATGCCACAGACCCTGGAGCAAGGGTGGAAATTATGCACCAGGATGTGGGGCCTCTAGTGACACTGAGCGACATCTTCCAAATATATCTAGACTGAGAATTCCTTTTTTTTTCTTTTTTAAATTCTTTCTATCCCAAATCACCACCCTGCCTGCGCCTTCACTCACATCACCTCCTTTCCGTTCTGCAACAAAGGAAGAGCTGTTTCTGCTGCACCCAAGACCTTCTTGCCCATCCATCCCGGACTGGCTCCCATCCCTGCCCGCCCCTCCGGGGCCTTGCTTTCTCTGCTGCAGCATCACTGTGCCCTCTCCGCTCCATCAGCCTGGAAGCATCTCGCCAGCATCACACTTGCTGCCACATCTCCTGGGCTCAGGACTTTCTCCTGCAATCTCTCCCCTCTGTCCCCTTACCACTGGGTCGGGCTGTCAGCACCCCAGCAGCCCAAGCGTCTTCTTTTTTTTTTTTTTTTAATCTTTTTGTTTTGTTAGTTTTTTTGAGAAGGAATCACACCCAGGCTGGAGTGCAGTGGCACGATCTCAGCTCACTGCAAACTCTGCCTCCCGGGTTCAAGCGATTCTCCTGCCTCAGTCTCCCAAGTAGCTGGGATTACAGGTGTGCACCACCTGCCCAGCTAAGTTTTGTATTTATGGTAGAGACGGGGCTTCGCCAAGTTGGCCAGGCTGGTCTCAAGCTCCTGGTCTCAGGTGATCTGCTGGCCTCGGCCTCCCAAAGTGCTGGGATTACAGGCATGAGCCACTGTGCCCGGCCCCGCATCTCCTGTCTTTTCAGAACCTTGTCATGACCGCTGTTTTCCTCCAGCATCCCTTCTCATCGGATGTGCAGAGGGCTGTGTCAGCCCCAGCCTCTCGGGATGACTTTAGCAGGCGTCTCTTCCTCTCTGGCCTCTGTCCCGTGCTTGGTGGATCCTCAGCTCACAGGCCAGTCCACCTGGGCTGGGACCCCAAGGCGCCTGGCATGGGGTGGCCAAGCGAAGGGGAAGGGACGTGGTCACTGAGGAAACACTCAGATCCCCTCCACCTGGAGCTGGTCCCAGTCAGAGACTGCCTGGAACCTTTGGGGTGCCTGGAGCCACCTTCGGACTCTGGGAGCCTGGCGTTCCTAAAGAACCCCCAGCACTCCTCACTCTTCCAACCCCTTCCCCTCTCGCTGAAGACAGCGGGACCAGGTAAGGCATGGGAAGGGGCTGTGGGGGGGAGCTGGTAAGGCCTGTGTCTTGGGGAGTGGTGGGAGATGGGGGATCTGCTAGCTCCCCAGCTGTCCCCACAGTTCCTCTGGGAAGTCAGGAATAACCAGAGCCTCCCTCCCCTCCTAGGCACCTGACAGTGGGGGTGTAACTGTTGGAATAAAAGCAGGGCAGGGAACCCTGCTTCATGTCACCTGCTGGGCTGCAAAGTAGTGTGGGAACTCAGTGACCTCTGCATGTGGGTTCTCTGCACCGCCCCACTCCCACCGATACCCGCCCTGTATCTTTCAGGGTGCCCTGTCCCCCATCCCCTGTCCTCAGCTGCTCTGAGGCGAGGGGGCTGTGCGGGTCCTGGGCGCCCGACTCCCACCCTTATCCTGTCATGAGACAGAGACCCAGGTGTCAGGCTCAGTTCATTTGACAGAGGAGGAAACAGAGGTGATGGCGTTAGGGTCACAGAGCCGCACTGGGTTCTCCCCTGCTGTCACTCTACTGAGCCCCCGCTACTGCTGCCAGGTGACTGATGTGTAAGGGGAGAAATTAGGGCTGATGTGGAGGCAGTGGGTTTGGGAGGGACCTGCACTGGGTCCTGCGCCCCCTGGCTGTGCTCTTCTCGGCCTCCTGGTGCTCACAGGGCTGGGGGGTAAGGGTGGATACGAATGTGCGGTGCCGGCTGTGGGACCGTAGCCAGCAGCTGCCCCAGACCACACACTGGGGATTAGGATGTCAACAGGGCAGCCAGTTCTGGTGCTGTGCAGAGTCAACAGGTCGGGGTGGCCAAGGTGAAGGGGGGCTCGGGTCCCACCTCCTACAACACACACTTTCGATTTTGATTTGACTTGACTGGCATCTAGAGGCAGAGGGTAGCCCAGGGTCCCAGATTTTAACAATCATTCAAGGGCCATCATGTTATTCAGAGGGTGGCTCTGTCTGGTAGGAGTGGAGGCAATTGCCCCCAACCTCTTGCCCAAAAGTGGCATCAGACACAACTCTTCTGTTTTGTGCTCAGCCATTGCCCTGGTTCAGCCTCAGGAGCAGAGGAGATTGGGGCAGGGAAAGAGTTGCACAGTGGAGGGCTGGGTTCAGCCTCTGCTGTGTGACCTTGGATGAGTGACCCACCTCTCTGATCATCTACAAAATGGCGATGCTCTCCCCATTCACAGAGTGTGGGGAGGAGGACTTGAGTTGCAGATCGGAAGTTCCTGACACGTAGCATGTGCTTGTTCCTCGTCATGTCCCCTCACACCTGTGCTCCCATTTGGAGTGGGACAAAGTCTGTGGAATTACCCAGAAGTCCCCAGACAGAGCCGCTGGCTCTTGGACGTGTGCTTTGAGAAGCATTTCCTGAGCCTGGAGGGTCTGGACACAAGGATCAAGTCCAAGTTCCTGACCCCAATTCACTGCCTTGCCCCAGGTGTCGGCCTCCTCGCCAGCCCTGGACAAGATGGGTCATCAGGACGGGACCGTGGGGCACAGCCTGCAGGCTTTGGAGCCGGGTAAACCTGGGCAGGGAATCCCGGTTCTGCCTCGGCCTCTGTGATCTTGGACAGGCAGCCTCGCCTCCCTGAGACGCCATTTCTCTACAACGGGATCACACTGCCTGCCTCGTGGGATTTCCATGGGCACTCAGGGTAATTAATCTGGGGAAGGCTGACTCTCTACCTGGCACACAGGGAGGCTGTGGTCATGCTGACCCCGCTCACCTTTGCCGGCCTGCCTTCTCCTTCCCTGCCCAGCCTCCTCCCCTCTCCCTCTGTGCTTTTCCAAACCTTCCATGTCCAGTTCTGAGACTCCTGGGCCCTGAGCCTCAGCCCTGGCAGATGGCCCCTTGCTGTCCTGCTGTGTGTGTGAGCTCCCCCTCCCCAGCCCCTGTCCAGTAGCACCCAGGAGCCTGAGGACAGCCGGGCACCACCCTCTGTGCCGCTGTGGTGGGTGGAGAAGCTCCTGCTCCCCTCCCTCTTGGCAGCTCTGCTCCGCTCCGCTCCGGCCTGGGCAGTTCTGGTCGGTTTTCAAGGACATTCTAAGTGTTCGCCATAAACCCTGGGCCCGGCAGCAAAGTGGGGGAGGATGTTGATTGTTGGAACACACACCTGTCCAGGTGCAGGGGAGCTGGAGGCTCTGTGAGAGGAGGGCCAGCTCAGTCACAGCAGGAGGACTGACAGGTGAGGGGTCGCTGCAAGGAGCTGGGGCCTGCCAGGGCCAGGTAGGCAGGGCGGAGTGTGGGGTGGTAGGGGCAGAAGCCAGTACCTCACTGTGGCCCTGGAGGGATCTCCTTCAGGTCCTGGGGTTTTCCTGCCTCTGTGGCCTGAGCGGTTGGGGAGAGAGGAGGGTGCTCTGAGACGGGCGGGGAGAGTCAGAGCCATCCATGGGACCCTGCAGTGAGAGGGTCACAGCCCTGGGCAGAGACTGATTCCAGCAGCGGAAGTGCCAAGCGACCCAGAAGGGTGGGAGCAGCGGCCACAGAAGGGGAAGGGGCTCTGAGCAGGGCTTAGGCTCCAGCCTGTGCCCAGTCTGCTGCTAGACACGGGGGGACACCTAGGAATCCCACCCCCATCCCACAAAATGACACACACAGGTACACACCCTCAGTGATGGAATCTCAGGGATGAGGGCACACACAGACCTAGTGTGGTAACTTCACACACACACACACACACACACACACAAAAGCACAATCGTTCCTCTTGATTTGGTGGGGAGAGCACTGGAAGGGCCTAGAGGCAGCGCGAGGACGTGCAGCAGCTCACCCGGGTCCCTCCCTCTATCTGCTTCCCCAGGGGCCTGATGGAGGAGTTGGTGGGGCTGCGTGAGGGCTCCTCAGGGGACCCTGTGACTCTGCAGGAGCTGTGGGGCCCGTGTCCCCGCATCCGCCGAGGCGTCCGAGGTGAGAGCCAGGTTCTCTTCCCTTCGCCTGGAGGACCACTCAGGACATCACTCCTGCCCGGCTCCCACCCCACCTCCCTGCCCAGGAGCCACCCTCCTCCTGGCATTTGTCTAGGACCTCACTGCCCAAAGTCTCCTGGGTGGCAGGGAGAGAAGGGGTCTGTCTGTCCCGCTGTCTGTGGGTCAGATGGGCCCGGCATCTGCCCTCTGCCTTTCGGGAGATATAGCCCAAGGCCTGGTCACTGTGCCCATCCTCCACCCAGGCCTCTCCCTCACCTACCTGTGCCAGTGAGGGGACGTGGGGGTTAGCTGCTGGGACAGCTGGGGCCACAGCAAGGGGCTGGGGCAGCCTGCACTTGGCACCTTTCCTTGGAGCCTCATGTGCCTTGTTCACTTTGAAACCTGACTGTCCCCTCAGCTACAGGGCAGAGCAAGTAGGGACTCCAGAAGGAGGCTAAGTGCAGCCCCAGGGGCTGGTGCCCACAGCCAGTGAGGGCCAGCTCCCAGGCTGGGGTGGTAGCCAGCTGGCCAGGGGCATTGCTGGGAACCCAGAGGATACCTGGTGCCACAGGCCCTGGGACACGCAGGAGTCTGCTAGACCCTGGTGCTCTGTCAGCTACGGACTCTACGGGGATACAGGTGAAAGCTGTAGCTGCCAGCCTCCCTCCACACTCCCTGTCCCCCAGCAACCTCCCAGTACAGGCAGGGATGCAGAGGGTGGACAGGTCAAAGGCTTTCCGGCAGGGGCAGCAGTCCTGGCACCCACTGTGTCACCACTGTTGCCTGCCACAAATCCTGCCCGGCTACTTATGTGAGGCAGGTCCCCCTCAGGACTACCCCAGAGTCCACCACCAAGCTCCACCCCACTGCCCCAGCCTCCCTGCCTGGAACCCAGCAGGCCTCCTAGGATGGGACTGTCTGTGCCTCTTGCCCCACCCTATGCCATGACCCCACGCCCTGCCCCAGGTGGTCTGGAGTGGCTGAAGCAGAAGCTGTTTTGCCTGGGTGAGGACTGGTACTTCCTGATGGTCCTCGGGGTGCTCATGGCCCTGGTCAGCTATGCCATGGACTTGGCTGTCATGAGTGTTGTCCAAGGTAACCCCTCCATGGCGGATGCTGCTCTGGGCCAAGGAATTCTGAGTTTGCTCTGGGGATGCCAGGTGGATGTCGCCAGGTGTAGCAGAGGTGGGAGGTGGGCTCTGGGTGGGGATCTGGTCCTGGCTTTACTCCTGACTTGCTGTGTGATCCTGGGCAGGCTCCTGCCCCTCTCTGGGCCTCAGTTATCTCATTTGAACAAGGGAGAGAGGCCTGAATGTTCCCAAGAGCGCTTCCTCCTCTGACCTCTCTGCCTCCTCTTCCAGCCACCCCCGTTCCTTCTCCTTCCCTTCTCCATGCCCTGGGGTGGGAGTGGGGGCATTTCCCTATAACACTTCCTTCCCAATCCCCGCTCCCTCAGCAGCCTGCCTCCACCCTGAGGCCTCCCTGGAAGAGGGGGTGTGGGCCAGGAAGGGTCTAAGACACTTTCTCTGGAGGCCCTCAGCTGCCAGAAGCAGGACCTACTACACCTACGAGCAGGTGTTTGATGCTTCACACCTGTGTCATTTAGATCTCAGTAGCCCTCTTTAGTCTTCAATGAGCCTGTGAGGGAGAGCCCATCACTAGCCCACTTGACAGATGGGGAAACTGAGGCTCAGAGAGGCTGAGTGGCTTGCCCACGGTCACTCAGCTAGGCAGTGGAAACCTGGGATATGGACCCAGGGTCATACTCCTGCCTCTTCTTGGGGGTCTGCCCCTCACTGGGTGGCCTGGTTCTTCCCTCTTTGTGACTCCATTTCTGGTCAGTAAGTGGGCACCACAGTGTCTAGCCCCGAGGGCTGCAGAGGCTATGGGTGGCTCCTGATACACAGCTGTCCCCAGCGCATGAGTGGCTGTACAGAGAGATTGGGGACAGTCACCTGCTCCGGTATCTCTCCTGGACTGTGTACCCTGTGGCCCTCGTCTCTTTCTCCTCGGGCTTCTCCCAGAGCATCACGCCTTCCTCTGGAGGTGAGTCCACGGTCGCCACACCAGTCCCCGCTGGCCAAAACCTTCTCAGATCCCAGGGGGCTTCTGATGGGGGGAATCGGGAAGCGGCAGCCTCATTTCTCAGACAAAGGCCCAGAAGAGTCATGTTGCTTGCCCGAAGGGACACAGCAAGAAGGCCAGATCTTGACCTCTGGGTCACTGCTGGCCCTACCCGCTTTCCAGGGGCTCCTCTGGGACTTGATGGGAGGCCTGGTGGGAGGTTCTTCTGTGAAGCCTGGGAGGAGCTGGTGGAGGAGGCACAGCTCCACCTGGCCGCTCAGCCCGGCCTCCAGCTCCAGGCTAGCAGAGGGGAGCTCAAGGCTCACTCAGTGGTGGCCTGAGATTTCATCCAGGCTTCCCCTATCCTACCACAGCTTTCTGCCAGGTCTGGCGGGAGGAATGTAAGCAACTCACATTCCGTCTGTGACGCTCAGCGTCCAAATCTGCTAAATGAGTTTAAGGACCTTACCCTAGGCTGGGTGCGGTGACTCATGCCTGTAATCCTAGCAATTTAGGAGGCTGAGGCAGAAGGATCACTTTTTGCCTAGAGTTTGAGACCAGCCTGGGCAACACAGGGAGATCCTGTCTCTACAACAAATAGAAAAAAATCAGCTGGGCGTGATTGCATGTGCCCGTGGTCCGAGCTACTCAGGAGGCTGAGGCGGGAGGATTGCTTGAGCCGGGGAATTCGATCCTGCACTGAGCCGTGTTTGCACCACTGTACTCCAGCCTGGGTGATAGAGTGAGACCCCTGTCTGAAACAAACAAACAAACAAACAAAGGAATCCTAACCTAGCTGGGCACACTGGCTCACGCCTGTAATCCCAACACTTTGGGAGGCAGAAGTGGACGGATCACTTGAGGTCAGGAGTTCTAGAGCAGCCCGGGCACCATAGCCAGACTCCATCTCTTTAAAAAAGTAAGGCAGGCGAAGTGGTCTCCACCTATAGTCCCAGCTATTCAGGAGGCTGACACGGGAGGATAACTTGAGCCCTGGCATCTGAGGCTGCCGTGAGCTATGATCCTACCACTGTATTCCAGCCTGGCCAACAGAGCAAGACCCTGTCCCCAAAGGAAAATAATCCTAACTTCAGAGGGTTCTGCTGATCTGGCGAGATCGTAATTTGAAAACACTTCGCGGGTAGAGTGTTGAGATTTTTAATCTAGAGATTGTCTCTCTCCTGGCCCTGCCCACCCCCGCCAAGGTTCTGGAATCCCGGAGGTGAAGACCATCTTGTCGGGTGTGGTCTTGGAGGACTACCTGGATATCAAGAACTTTGGGGCCAAGGTGGTGGGCATGTGTTGCACCCTGGCCTGTGGCAGCACCCTCTTCCTGGGCAAAGTGGTATGGGCAGGGGTGAGGGCACCCCAACCACCCTACCCACCCCAGCCACCCCAGCCTCACCCCCATCACCCTACCAAAGCTGGGTCAGAGGGGACTTGGGCTTGTCCCTGCCTTTGAGAAGCTCAGTCTTGGGGGAAGAGCCAGGACAGGTCCCCAGAGTGTGACAAAAGCCACCTGAGGACAGCCCTGGGGGTTGGAGAGAGGGAGGAGGGGGTGTGGTGGGGAAGCCGTGCTGCCTCTGGGTGAGGCTGTCTGTGCTGCCCTCACCTGGGCCCTGGGCCCACCCTTCCCTCTGCAGGGCCCTTTCGTGCACCTGTCTGTGATGATGGCTGCCTACCTGGGCCGTGTGCGCACCACGACCGTCGGGGAGCCTGAGGTTAGGGACTCGGGGGCTTCCTTGGAGGAATGGGAGTGGGGAGGGAGGGGGCTGACGCTGAACCCCGGACTCGGATCCCCCAGAACAAGAGCAAGCAAAACGAAATGTTGGTGGCAGGTGCGGCAGTGGGCGTGGCCACAGTCTTTGGAGCTCCCTTCAGCGGTGAGACGCCCTCATGCCCCGCCCCCAGGTCCCTCAAACTCCTCCCCTCACTCCCTGGGTTCCCTCGGCCCCGCTGAGAGCCTGGAGGAGGGGGTGGGTCTCATTCTAGTTCTTACTTCAGCCCCTCCTTGGGTATAGCCACCGCACCCCACTGGCGGGTGACATGATTGGAGGTGCTGAGAGGCTTGAGGGTAACATTACACAGACTTGGGTTTGGAATCCACGTGTGACCCTGGCCCGCTGGCCTCTCTGAGCCCGGCTTACTCCTCTATAAAATGGAGATCGCAACCATCCTCACCCAATCGTGAGAGGACGCACACCTGCATTCCAGGCTGGATGGGTCTCTGGGCAGCTGGCTCCTCCTCGCCCAGGGCGCATGCCCTGCCCTCCCTTCCTGTCTGTCCCTGTCCGGGCTGTAGCAGAGCAGGACAGACGGGTCAGGGAGGAGGTGACATGGGGAGGGGGCCCTACAGCCACAGGTGGGTGGGAGTGGGGGACCCACCTGAGATCAGTGTCGCTCCCAGGCGTCCTGTTCAGCATCGAGGTCATGTCTTCCCACTTCTCTGTCTGGGATTACTGGAGGGGCTTCTTTGCGGCCACCTGCGGGGCCTTCATGTTCCGGCTCCTGGCGGTCTTCAATAGCGAGCAGGGTGAGCCCCCTGGGCTGCCTGACCCTGGCCCTCCCTGGGGGCTGGGGCGAGGTGACCCTCCCTTCTCCCCTGTGTACACCCCTTGCTCTTCCCTTCCCTCTCTCTCCCTCTTTTTCCTCCTCCCTGTTCCCACCTCTCTGGGAGGATGGAAGGGGCTGACCTGTGCTGAACATGAAGGGCAGGAGCCCTGAGGGTAGAAGGGATGAGGCTGGGCAGGGAGGCAGGAGCCTGGTTGTGGGGGCCTGGAATGCCAGGACACACATTCCGGGTCAGGACCTGGCACCCCCTCCACCCTGGGCTGTTAGTCTGGGACTTGTGTTCGGGTGGGGTGGGAGCGCCATCTCGGTTCCCCACTGCTCTCCTTCCCCAGAGACCATCGCCTCCCTCTACAAGACCAGTTTCCGGGTGGACATTCCCTTCGACCTGCCGGAGATCTTCTTTTTTGTGATACTGGGGTGAGTGGGTGCCTTGGGCCCCTGAGAGTCCAACAAGGCATTCCCTCCAGGCCTGGACTGCAGCCCCTGGCACTGGGGTCAGGCTCTAGACTCCTATCTCCATGCTTCTCAGGGGTCTCTGCGGCATCCTGAGCTGCGCTTACCTCTTCTGTCAGCGAATCTTCTTTGGCTTCATCAAGAGCAATCGGTTCAGCTCCAAACTACTGGCCACCAGGTAGGCTCTGGGCTAGGGGCTGGGGACCTCTCAGCAAGCGCCCCCCCGCCACCCGTACTCCCAACCTTATGTAGAATGCTCCACTCCCCACCTGAGCCCCTAAAGTCCGTCCCAGCCCACGCCCCACATGCCCCTAACACCCTCTACAAGTCCCCACAGTCACTGCCCTCCTACTTTACTGGTCTCAAACCTCCCCATTTAATCCCCATATCTCCTTGAGTCTATACCCCCTCAGTGAACCCCAACCCCCTCACTGACCTTTAACCCCTTCTTGGTCCCTCTCTCCCTTTAAACACGTGTGTGCCCGTGGCATTGGCTAAGCCCTCCTGCCCCAGGTGCATGAGCCCTGCCCGAGTCTGGCCCCACTCTGTCCTCCCTCCCAGCATGCCTGTGCCCCAATTCTCCTATCAGCCTCTACCCCTAAAAATACCCAGGAGTGTGGGGCTGACCCCACAGGTGCTGTCTCCTGGAGCTGGCCCAGTTCATGTCCCCCATTCCTGCTCTTCCTCCTCCCCGGTCCTTGCCTCGCCGTCCTGCGTTCGCGAGGCCCTGCTTCCCTCTCCTGGGGATGTAGGAAAGAAAGGGCCAGCCCTAGAGCTCACTTACCCCCCACAGCAAGCCTGTGTACTCTGCCCTGGCCACCTTGGTTCTCGCCTCCATCACCTACCCGCCAAGTGCAGGCCGCTTCCTAGCTTCTCGGGTAAGGGGCCCTAAGTGGGGTGGCAGGAGTGGGGAAGTCCTATTTGTTGCCCCCTTTGCGTGTATCTCACTTAATTCCCCCCAATACCCCATAATGGAGATGCCTAGGCATTATTTTATAGATGATATTACAGCTCCGGGAGATCAGAGCCCTGCCCAAGGCCCCCTGCTGGGACGTGGCAGAGGAGGATTCCAGGCGGGGTCAGGCGGTGCGGGGGCGGCTGGGGTCTGCCACTTGGGGCCCCTCAAGTCCAGTTCCCACCTGCCCCGCCACAGCTGTCCATGAAGCAGCATCTGGACTCGCTGTTCGACAGCCATGCCTGGGGGCTGATGACCCGGAACTCCAGCCCACCCTGGCCTGAAGAGCTTGACCCCCAGCACCTGTGGTGGGAATGGTACCACCCGCAGTTCACCATCTTTGGGACCCTTGCCTTCTTCCTGGTTATGAAGGTGGGCCTCTGGTCCCAGGTGTGCACAGAGCCAGGACCAGCTCTGGTGGGGAGGGGGTGCCTCCTCGCAGCTGGTGGCATGGAGCCCAGGCCTTCCGTCCACACTTCCTGATGTGCCCCCTGCCCACTGCATGGTCCTGGGCAAGTGACTTCAGCTCTCTGGGCCTCAGTCTTCTCATCTTTAAAATGGGGTGGTTACTGGGAAGACTGAGGAGGAAGAAAGGAATGTACCTGGCACAGTGCCAGGCACACAGTGGGCATTTCTCAGGGTGAGGACCCTCCCCTAATGCCAGATTCTGGTAATGGGTGCATGGCCAGCACCCTCTTTCTCTCTAGGACACTCCCCTGTCCCCTGTCCTGTCCTCCCTGGTCAACGCCTTGCCTAGCGGCCTCTAACCTCTGCCTTGGGCTCCCCACTTCCACAGTTCTGGATGCTGATTCTGGCCACCACCATCCCCATCCCTGCCGGGTACTTCATGCCCATCTTCATCTATGGTGAGTCTGGAGTCCTGAGGTTCTGATAATTTTGGGGTTCTTGGGGCAGGACCGTGGCTCCTGGTTCACCCTGCCCAGGTGGTACTGAGGATGGTCCTCAGCGATGGAGCGTTGTGGGGGCCGGGTCAGCCTGGCTCCCCCTCACCCTAAGTCTGTGGCCAGGAGCTGCCATTGGGCGCCTCTTTGGGGAGACTCTCTCTTTCATCTTCCCTGAGGGCATCGTGGCTGGAGGGATTACCAATCCCATCATGCCCGGGGGCTATGCCCTGGCAGGTGAGTGAGTCAGGACCCTGCTGGGTGGGCAGCATCGTGGGGCTGGGTTGGACCTGGAGAATTGGCCGGTGGCTTCACAGGGCACAGAGCCGTCACTGAGCCTCCCAGTGAGCCCCGCACCCCTCGTGGGGGTCTGTCCCTCCTAAGTCCCACCATTCCCCGGGGCCCATCACTCCTTCTTGGTTCCTGTCCCGTTCCCAGTCCCGTGGCCTCCCTTATCCCTCTCCTCTCACCAAGCCCAGGCACTGGGCACTTCCCACAGTGCCCAGGCTGTAACCTCTTACAAATCACACTTAGCCCCTGGTCGCAGCTATGCCAGTTTTGCCCTCACATGAGGCTGGCCCTTGGCCTCAGCTGCCCTGCCTGACTCTGCCCTTGCAGGGGCTGCAGCCTTCTCAGGGGCTGTGACCCACACCATCTCCACGGCTCTGCTGGCCTTTGAGCTGACCGGCCAGATAGTGCATGCACTGCCCGTGCTGATGGCGGTGCTGGCAGCCAACGCCATCGCACAGAGCTGCCAGCCCTCCTTCTACGATGGCACCATCATTGTCAAGAAGCTGCCATACCTGCCACGGATTCTAGGCCGCAACATCGGGTGAGCAGTGCCCACCTCAGGCTGGCTGAAGGGGGTCACAGTGTCCAGGTAGGGCTGGGAGTGGAGGGCACCTCCAAAAATAAATGCCACCGCAGCTGACCTTGGACATGGGGGCTGGGAGAGGCTGACACACAGCCGTGCTCTGGTCTCCATTCTCCCCAGTGCCCCGGGTGACCTTGGACAAGTTGTTGGCCTTGAGGCCTCAGTGTCTGTCTAGGGGTCAGCAGGGCTCCACAGCAGGAGGATGAGTATTGCCCCGTGTACAGGTTGAGGAAACCGGGGCTCAGAGAGATGCCGTGTCTTGCTCCAGCACCAGATCTGTGTCTCCTCCCCTCTCTCCACTTCTGCAGCCTTCACTGGAACTTTGGGAGCAGGAGGTGGAACGAGAATGGAAATGGGCTTTGAGGTCTTCACTCAACCAGATAGGACCAGAGCAGCTTCTGGTGCCAGAGAAGCAGACCAAGGAGGCTCTGAGAGTCCCTGGGTCCGAGGCCCTGCTCCAAATACAAGCAAGCTGCTGCCTTGCTCTGAACCTGTTTCCCCATCTGGAAAACGGGGCTGCTTACCCCAGTGGTTTCCAGACTTTCAAGTTTTTCCCTGGTGGAGGCATACACTTTTTTTTTTTTCCTTTTTCTTTTTTTAGGTGGAATCTTTCTCACTCTGTTACGTAAGCTGGAGTGCAGTGGCACAATCTCAGTCACTGAAACCTCCACCTCCCAGGTTCAAGCAATTCTCCTGCCTCAACCTCCCAAGTAGCTCAGACTAGGCATGTGCCACCATGCCTAGATTATTTCTGTAGTTTTTGTGGAGACGGGGTTTCACCATGTTGGCCAGGCTGATCTCGAATTCCTGGCCTCAAGTGATCCACCTTGTTTGGCCTCCCAAAGTGCTGGGATTACAGGCGTGAGCCACCGTGCCCATCCGCATATACTTTTTATTCAGATTAAATTTTCCAGGGAAGGCCGCTGGGTAAAACAGGACAAAGTGGAGCTGGTCTGGGGGACATGGGGGTCCAGGGGGCTGGGAATTAGGAACTGGGTCATCGGTGACGTGGTCCCCAGGTTTCCTCCCACTGTGGGTCCTAGGAATCCCTAATTCCACGAACCTCTCCGGCCCTGTCCACACTCCAGAGCCGTGGGTCCCCAGTTCAAGCAAAGCTCCCCCCAGATCCCCTTGCCAGCCTGGGTCTCACATCCCCGACTCTGGGACCTGATGGGAGCCCCTCTGCCTGCAGCTCCCACTGCGTGAGGGTGGAGCACTTCATGAACCGCAGCATCTCCACACTGGCCAAGGACATGCCACTGGAGGAGGTGGTCAAGGTCGTGACCTCCACAGACGTGGCCGAGTATCCCCTGGTGGAGAGCACAGGTGCCAGCCAGAAGGGAGGAGGAAGTCGGGGGTGGGGGATGCCCTCTGCCTCCTTCTTGGACCTGTCAGGCAGACAGGATCTGCATCCAGGCTCTGTGACTTAGCAACCAACCATGTGACCTTGGGCAAGTCACTTCACGTGAGCCTCAGTTTCCTCATCAGTAAAGTGGAAATCATGGCCACCCTCCCCTGGGGTGGTTGACATGTCTAAAGAGAGTTGGCTGGGTGCTTGTAAGGCAGTTCCTGGGTAGCTGCTGGGGTAGGAGCATGGGGACACCACCAGGGTCTTCTGGAAGCTTCCCTACAGGCCTCCCTTTAAGCATTCCCCAAATGAGACCCCTCCCCCAAATCCCTGTTGCCATAAGGAAAACATCTCCTTAAAGACAAAAGCGTGGTGGCCCTTGTTAAAAGGCATGGAACCCGCTTCTTGCGGAAAGCTTAACTAGAGCATCATTTCCTGTGGGTACAACTCCAGTATCTGCATTCAGAAGATAAGGCGGGGTTCGGGGGTGACCCTGCTCACTCAAGTCTGCTGTCAGCCCATGTGTCCCCCTGTGCAAATGAGATAAGGTGCACACCTGGCAAGCACATCACAGCTGGATTTTGGTCTCCACTTGCACTTTGGGTAGGCACCTTGTGCAGTGAGCAACCTGTACAATAGGGGTCACCCCTATGCCCACCCCAAGAGGGATAAAGCCATTTATGAGCTAAATAACTGTGAGTATACCACTTAAGCTCTATGTACTGCATTTTCATCATCTTGAAAGTAGGGATCAAGAGAGTATATGATTGCCAGACATTCTCACTCCAGATGCTAGGCCCTTCTTTCCCCACTAATTGGAAGATGGTTAGCATTATGCTGTGGAACATGCCAAATATCTCATCTGAAAATGTTTGCTTTCGGATGAGCCCCCCAAGAGTCTTCACCTCCTGGAGCAAAGAAAGAATTAGCCTCGAAGACAAAGTCCTCTTTTACTTTGGGAGCAGGAGGTGGAACGAGAATGGAAATGGGCTTTGAGGTCTTCACTCAACCAGATAGGATGAGATAGCAAAGTGCTTAGAGCCATAGCAAAGTGCTCCAACCGACACAGGCCCAGGCTGTGGGACCCCACCGCTTACCCAAGAAATAGCCTTCATTGTTCATTTAAAAGGGAAGGGGGACATTTACATGTCTAAGTGTCAAGTTTTTATTTCACTCAACAGAAAGGAAAAACACCAAGCTGGGCCCTCAAATCTAAATATCTGACAATGCCATTGATACCCCAGGGCCAGAGTGAAGCTTGCCAAGGCCCCAGCACACAGTAGGACCTCAGAACACAGGGTCCTCCTGGGTTCGCACCTTCACTGGGCTGCACTAGATGTGAAGCCTCTTGGGAAACGAAGGAGAAAGCCCAGCCCTGACACACAGACTTCATCGTGCTGGCGTCCCCAGCTTGCTCCTGTCTTGAGACCTTGCAATGTGGGGGATCTCAGTGGTGGCCAGGGTCCCTCCTGGCCCCCTGGTAGCCTCACTCAGCCACCCTCAGCTACCACACCTGAATGACCTGGGGCAAGACAATTAGCCTCTCTGTCTCTGAGCCTCAGTTCCTGTCCTTTATAATGGGAGACAATAGTTACAACAGCCCCATAGGAACACCAGGACAGTTCTTGGCTAAGTAGGTGCTCAGTAAATGTGAGTTCCTGTTTCCTCCTAATGCGCCTCCCTCCCTCTCCCTCTCCACTTGCCAGAGTCCCAGATCCTGGTGGGCATCGTGCGAAGGGCCCAGCTGGTGCAGGCCCTCCAGGCTGAGCCTCTTTCCTGGGCTCCAGGACACCAGGTGGGTACTCCTGAGGGGCGTGGGGATGGAGTGGGGGTCGGTCAGCAGGGCTGGGACAGGAGGGGCCTGCTGATCCCCTGAGGGAGAGGTGGTCTGAGAGAGGCATCCTGGAGAGGCCGGCCCTGCACCTGTAACCCTTCCCCTGTAACCCTTCCCCACTCCCAGCAGTGTCTCCAGGACATCTTGGCTGGGGGCTGCCCCACGGAACCAGTGACCCTGAAGCTGTCCCCGGAGACTTCCCTGCATGAGGTAACAGGGAGAATTGGGGAGTGTGACATATGAGGCCCCTGGGTGGGGAAAGAGCTGATGAGGAGCTCAGGCTTCAGCCTCCCCTCCCAACCCGAGCCCCCGCCCGCCTTATGCTGCTTCCTTCTCCTCCTGGGCCTGTGTCCTCATCAGCAGACTGGGCAAAGCAGCTCCTGCCCTGTCGCCCCTCACTGCCAGGGTTGCGGGGATGATGCAGAGAGATGAGGGAAGTGGGAGAGTGGCAAATGTTTAAGTATCTGGGTGGAAAGACAGTGGAGTTGAACCAGGGCACACGTGCACTTCAGTTTCAGGTCCACCACATTCTCCCTGTGTGATCTTGCACAAAAGACTTAGCCACTCAGGACAGAGCCTGGCACATGGGCGGGGAAGGGGCAGAGGCGGCCCACAGGAAACCTGGAGATGGCCCTGCCCCCTCTGTGCTGCTGGAGGGTGCTGGATATTGGGTCCTGTTCACCTGTGGGCTCGCCTAGACCCTTGCATGGACTCTGGCATCTCCCAGTGGCCACACTGGACATTGCAGGCCTGGATCTCTTGCCTCCCACACACATCAGGCCCGGCCCCTCTTCCTGGCTCAGAGGCGTGGCAGAGTGGGCCAGAGGGTGGGCTAGGCGCCTTCTACCCTCCAGTGTTTCCTAACAATCCCCCATCCAGGCACACAACCTCTTTGAGCTGTTGAACCTTCAGTCCCTCTTCGTGACATCGCGGGGCAGAGCTGTGGGCTGCGTGTCCTGGGTGGAGGTACCAGGGTCCCAGGGGCAGAGCAAAGCAGGGGACCCATGCCTGAGAAGGCTGGGGAGGTTGGGGGGGACACCGGCATGCTCCCATCCAAACCTGGGGGGATTCAGAGGATACTGATGAGTCCCTCTTCCTGGCCCAGATTGGCCACTGGGCCTGGCTCCCCTACCTTGTTTCCTGGCCAGTGGCCAGCCTGCCCCTCTCTGCCTCTGTGATCCCATCTGTGCAATGGGGTGACATGGGCTCTACTATTCACCCAGAAACCACCCTTAGAGGACTAAAAATGCTGGTGCCGCCCTGTCAACCTCCTCTACATCCCCCCTCCAGCCCCCTCCCGCTTTCTCTGTTCTAGATGAAGAAAGCAATTTCCAACCTGACAAACCCACCAGCCCCAAAGTGAGCCAGTCCAGCAAGATGAAACAGGGCACCCCAGCTGCCCTGGTACTGAGGTTGGGCTGAGACCCTGCCTCTCTTCCCCCGTCACCCCTTACCCCCACTCCAACCCAGCTCCATTCCTTGGCATAACAGACAACTCTAACCTAGCCCGGAAGAAGATGGCTCATCCTGGGTGTGACGATGGCTCCTGCCTTGAAAGACAAATCCCACCTTGGACAGAGCTGAGTGTGAGATGATGGAAAACCAGTGTCTGCCAGGTGCTCACTGACTGGCCATCCAATTAATGGATGACGGGATTGGGATATGCTGTCACCGAGGGCCGGAGCAGATGCCCTCTGGGGTTATCTGGTTCCCAATGAGAGGCTCCAGAGAAAAATAAAGCTGGTTCCCAGAGCCGCTGTCCATCCCTCATCTCAGCTGCAAGGTTGCTGGCCTGGGACTGGAGCTCCTCACCTGTGCTGGCCCAGGGTGAGTTTCCCGTGGTCACGTGGACACTGCAGGTTCGGGCCTCTGGACTCCTCCTCATGCTCCACTTCTTGGCAGGGAGATGGTAGGGAGAGAGGGTCTCCCACCAGGTCTGTGATGTTTGACCTCATGGATAAGCAGGACCCTGTGTCGTTTAAGCCCTAGTCTCCTGCTTGGCTGAGCCACAGTTCAAAAAGCTGGGTCCCCAAGTGTAGCTCCCTGGGGAGTCCACAGAGACTTGGGCATCCTCCATGGGCCCTCTCTGGCTAGGTGGGAGCAGGTTGACCAGCTACGTGAGCATTGGCGGTAGGGACCTTCCCCGACTCCCTCCGGACTTCGTCCAGGGGCCCAAGGTCACATCTTCCCAGCAGAGACCAGGCCAAGGTCATTGAGAGTGAATCGACCACTTTAATGTCCTCAGAGAACCTTGAGTGAGATGGGAGGGAGCTGCAAGGAACGAGAGTGGGCTCCCGGGGGTGAGGAGCAGGGGACACCGAGGAAGCAGGTTCAGAGAGGGAGGGACAGACAGACAGACACTCCAGAGAGACAGATGTCCTGGTGAGGACAGCCGGGTGGCAGATGCTTAGCTACCAGAAGTGGCCACCCCACCTTTGCTGGGGGGCAGACACACAGAGAGAGTGGGGAGGGACTGAGCCCCAGGTACAGGCAGGGTTCCCAGACCCCACTCTAAGTGGGTCTCAGTTCTCTCCATGGCTGTTCTCCTGGGGGCCTGGCTGTTGCTCCTCTGGGCCAGGCTGCCCTGGTGTCTCTGAGAGTCCTTGAGTTCCCTGAGGGCAGACACCCTGCAGGGGAAGGTGCCCACCTGAGTGAAGTAATGAAGGGGGAGGGGTTATGGCTGCCACTGCTGGGGCAGGTCTGCCGAGGCACAGAGAGGCCATGATGAGCGCTGGCCCCATCCCTGCCACACCTACCCTGTGCCTACCCGAGGGGTCAAGAGATGCCCTGCCCTGGACCCCGGGATCCAGATATGCCTGGACTGCCCACCAGGCGAGGTCATGGTGTGAGCAGGTGCTGGACCAGCACAGCCCCCGCCTCAGTTATAGAACACCTCGTCCTCCTCCTCCCAGAGGGAACCGCTGTCCACGGAGGGGAGGGAGCCCGGTAGGTGCGGCCCACCCTCGGGTCCTTGGTGCCCGGGCCGCCGCCGCCGATGCTGCAGCTCTGGGCTGGGGGCCTGTGGGATGCCAGCGGTGCTGGGGGTCTCCTCAGGTGAGGGACAGCTGTCAGGGGAGAGGCTGGCTGAGGAGAAGGCCTGAAGGCTGTCATCCTGCGAGGGGCCACTGGGAAGGCTGTCCTGAAGGTAGATGCTCTCCAGATCTGGAAAAGCAACAGGGTGACGGGGGAATGGCGTCCCAATCCGGCTCTTCGCCCTCTCTGGGGGTGTGAGAAAGGGCAAGGGGCAGAAGACCTGCCTCCAAATCCAGCTGTGTGACTGGTGAGCGTTGTGACCTTGGTCAAGTCACCAAAATCCTCTGAGCCCCAGGTTCCTCCTCGAGGCAGTAAACGGAGGAGTCAAGAGTGGGCTTGGCGCCAGCCTGTGCTCTCTGAGAACTGGGACAACCAGTGCTCCCCTGGGCCTCTGTCCCCTCCCCGTCCCTCTCCATCTGTCAGGGAGGATTAAGCGCAGGCTTCCCCCAGGGCCAAGGCTCCTTGAAGCCCTCAATAGTAACCTGGGTTTCTAGAAAGGCAGTTGCTTGTGTCTGGTGCTAAGTTTCAGATCCGGCTCTGACGCTTCTAACTGTGTCATTTGGAGTAAGTTTCTGAACCTCTGAGTGCCTCTGTTTCCTTATTTGTGAAATGGGGACAACAGGACCCCCTCCCTAGGGCTGCTGTGAGGATTCCATGAGATGCCTCGTGCACAGCCCTCAGTGTGGTAAGCACTCGATTCCCGCCCCCACTGTGCTCATTCTCTCCTTCCTGCTCCTGGCACTGCCGGGCAATGGGCAGGGCAAGGATCACTGCCGCATTTTGCAGATGAAGAAACTTAGGCTGAGAAAAGGAAGGGGCTTGGCCGAGGTCACACTGCATTTGGTGGTGGGCAGGCATCCAGCCTCAGCTCCGCTCTGCCCACCCCCGCCCCCGGACCTCCTGGGCTGTACCTTGGAGCTGGACGATGCCCTGGGGGCTGTTCTCGGGGTGCAGCTCCTCGTCGTCCAGCGAGGACCAAGCGCTCAATGTGGCCTCTGTGATGGCAAACTGCTCAGCGACCCCTGGGGGGACAGCGAGATCTGGCTCAGTGGGGATGGGTGGGGACAGCCTCAGTGCCCGATAGAGCTGCTCCAGGACAAGCTGGAGGGTGGCCGCCTCTCAGCGCTGCCCATCCACGCCCCAGTGGTCAAGAATGCTCACTTAATAGCCCCCCACCCTATGCCATTATTTTTTCCTGCCCAGACAATGTCCATGCAGTGATCTGGGCCCCCCAAGGTGCCAGCTTCACCCCCACAGAACCCTGGCCAGTCCCCCTCCTCACTGACCTGCAGCAAAGCGGGCCTCACGCAGCTCGTCCGGGAGGCAGCAGTAATGCTCGTCCTCAGCTGGGGACAGCTCCCAGCCTGCCCGCTGGGCACTCCAGCCCTTCCACTCGATGAGGTGGGCCACGCGGCCTCGGGCCATGGCCGTGGGCTTTGTGATGTGGTCCTTGATGCTCTGCACCACCCCTGGGGCATGGAGGGCATCTGGGCGACTGTCCTGACACAAGGCCCAGCCCAGGGCCTGGCCCCCGTGCCTCAGGCCCACCTGGTGGCCTGTACCCCACATTCCCTCAGTGTGCCACAGTCTCCGTCAGTGCCCCACACCTCCCCAAGGGCCTATACCCATCTAATTCCTCATGCCCTCCAAAGCCTCCTTCTCACTCCTGCCCTGAGCCCTCTGAGCTCTGCGGCCCCCTCCTCTCAATGCCCCCACCCACTGGCATCCGCATTTCCTCCCAGCATCCTACTCCTAGTCTGTGTTCCCACCCACTGGGTGCCTCTTCCCCAGATCGCCCACACCCCTCACTCCCTTTCTGACTAAGTTCAGACCCTTCTGCCCAAGGAGATCCACCCAAGGACCACTCTTGAGCCCCCAGCTTTCTCCATGATCCATTAAATACATTCTGAGAGAGCATCTCTGTAGCCTGCCAGCTCTGCTGGAGGTGAGACCTGGGTGGGTACAGCAGGCAGGGAAGGCTTCCTGGAAGAGGGGACCTTGGATTGGAATTTGAAGGTGGGTAGGGTTTGAACAGATGGAGGCAAGACTGGAGGCTTTTTCAGTGATGAGAAGAGGATGAAGGCATGGAAGAGTCTGGTGTGAGCTCAGGAGTAGCTGGGGTGAGACATGGGGTCCACACTAGGACTGGGTGACAGGAGAAGCTGGGAGCTGATCAGGGCCAGAACAGGGTTGGGGAGAATAAGGTGGAGGGCTCACGTTCCTGTGCAATGGGGAGCCCCAGCAGGGTAATGAGCAAGACAGTGAGCAGTTAGCACAGCTGTTTAGGAACAGCGCCCCAGTTGGAGGATTAAGGGTTACTGCAGGGACCCAGCAACAGACATAACAAGGGCTGGGCAGACAGAGAGGAGCGGTCGGGGGCTTTAGGAGTAGAGCTGTTGGATGTGTAAAATGGAGAGGGGGCTGCCAGGAATGGGTCAGCATCACCATTAACCAAGGCTGAGAACAGATCTGGGAGTCACCCAGGTCCCCGAAGCCATGATGTGATGTGAGGAATGACAATATTTAAGTAGGAGGAGTATCCACAAAGGTAATTAGAGAGTGGGGAAAACAGGAAAGATGGGAGTGTGGAAGAAAGGGGAGACTCTCTCTCCCACCCACTTAGTTGGCGAGTGTTGGCAACTGGAGAGGATGTTTTGTAGGAAGTGGGGGTTCAAGTGGCCCTTGAAGGGCAGTTGAGGTGGAGGAAGGTGCTGGAGATGGAGGAAAGGCACAGGCCAATGTGGGGAGGGAGGGCCCCAGGGGCCTCAGGGGAGCTGGGTGGGATTTAGTGCTGGGGTCACCTGATGCTGTGGTTTGGCCACCGAAACCCCCTCTACTGGCCTGGGAGCGCACGCCCAGCTGCTTCAAGTGCTGCTGCTGTCAGCTCACACCCTTATCTGGAGAACCACCCTGAGCTCCTGGGAGCCTCCTCACCTGGAGATGCCGGGAGGCTGCAGAGTCCTCCCCAGGGGCAGCCAGTGAGGCAGCAATGGGGGAATATAAAGTCTAGCTCCATCAATTCTGGGGTACTATTCGTGCTCCCACGCTCCCAGTGGGACCAGGTGGGCAGGGCTAGACTCCTGCTGAGCCCCTTCCCCAGCCCCCTCTGCCTCCCCCCGCTACCTGCTCGCTTCTCTTGAGGGCCAGTCTCCAGGGAATCACCTGCACAGTCAGGCCATGTCAGACTCTGCTTCCAGGGAACCTGAACTAAGGTGTTGTGACTGGCAGAGAGGCAGGGAGGCCATGCCAGACAGACATCTGAAAAACTCTGCCCCACCCCCGCAGAGCTTCTTGAGAACCCAGCAGTTTAACTCGTGGAAACAGAACCCTGAGCCACTGGTCCCCCCGTGACCCGCATAACCTAGCATGGACTCTGGCATTTAGAAAATGGAGAATCCAACAGAGCTGCCATCCTCCCACCTGCAACTCAGCTGTGCCCTTCCCACAGCCAGGGTCTACGGTGGGACTGTGCATTCTCCAAGGGCAGGAGAGTTGCAGCCAGAACCTACCCACAAGGGACGAGGTGGCCAGGGCTGCCACGTTGTAGTTGCTGGGGCAGGACCTGGAGTCGGACAGGTAGCCGTTGGTGGTCTGGAAGCACCTCTGGAGGAAGGGGCAGGAGGAGTGAGCAGGGTGGGCCAGGCTGCTGGCCTACATCCCTCCAGTCCCACCCATCCCGTCTCCCAGACCACCAGGTCCTCTGGCCAGTGGGCAGGGACAGGGCAGCTCAAGTCAGGGAGATCCTACCAACTCCCACAGGACCACCCCCACCCACTGTTTCATCAGACTCCTCTCCCCCAGGGCCAGCAGGACTGTGTGCCTGGGCTGGGCACAAAGGATAGAGGGATGGGGGTGTCAGCTGGGGCTGGCTAGACTAGGGGACACACAGTGCACTGACCTGCCAAGGATCCCAACAGAAATCCATCTGTTTGTCCTAAAACAAGAGGAGAGAGAGGATCAGGTAGAGCCTGGCACGCTGTCCTGGCAGATGGCCCGAGTCCTGCGGCCCTGGGTGGGGATGGGGGTCAGCCTTCTGGTCTCCGTGAGGTCGGGGTCTGTCCTCTCATGGGTCATGCTCTGGTGTCCTCCGGCATGCAGAGTAAGAAGGAGGGGGCAACAGTGGTGCTGGGAGGAGAGGCAGCGGGTGCAGCTTATAGAGCAGGCTTGGGTGTGGGCTCTCACTTTGCCAAACATGTCTCCTCCTCTGCAAAATGGTGACAATGTCATTCACCTCACGAGTTGTGGTGAGGCCTAAATAACATAATGGAGGCTGAGAGCTGAGTGCGGCGCTTAGCAGGAGGGGTGTGCTGGTGGGGGGAATGGTAATTACATCAACTGGTGGGTTCATGCCACAGACCCTAAGGCAAGGGTGGAAATTATGCACCAGAATTTGGGGTCCTTTGTGATCCTTAGTGACATCTTCTAAATCAATCTGGACTGAGAAACATATGTAAAATTTTAATATATATTATATATAAATTATATTCATATAAATTATATATAATAGTATACAAAAATTATAACATATAATTTATATATAATATATAACATATTTATATATTATATATTTTATATTTATATTTTATATATACTTATATATAATATATAATAAATTTTTATATATAATTTATATAAATTATAATATATAATTTTATATATTACATAACTTATATATAACATTCGTGAGGCTGCTCAGGAGTAGTGGGCTGGTAGCAGAATGTGTTGTCTGCAAGGCAGCGTTAATTTGTGCAGGAAGACCTTCAGGATGGACGGTCTTCTAAACAAGCCTGGTCTAGCCCCTGGATGCTCAGCCCAGTCCAGCCTCTCATGCTGCTGAATATCAGGCCTTAGGGCCCCTGGTCCCACAGGGAGAAGAGGGTTTGGCAGGGAAGGAAGGAGACTGGAATGGATTCTGCTCCCTGCGGGGAGCTGTAGGGGATAGGCTGGGAACTGGGGCACAGGCAGCACAGGGATGAGGAGCAACCAGTTACCTTGCCAGTGACATGGTCTACAGCCACGGTGGGAGTGCGGCCCGAGGGCAGGTCTGGGTTCAAGGGGTCCGTGCCCCGGGGCATGGGGCAGTCCTTGTGGGCACTTGTGAACAGATCTGGAAATAAGAGCAGAGGAGGAACTCAGCAAAGCCCAGCCCTCTCTTGCTTACAAGGCGTGTTCAAGGTCCCCCATAAGATGGGTGTGGCCTTATTTTTATCCAGCATCATTGTAGAGGAAGCCAACTCAAGTCCACAGCAGGGGAGAGGTCCAGCCAGATGCCCTCCTGCCTATGCCCCTCAGCGGGAATCACTGGCCTCATCTTCTTTTTACCCCCTTTTCGCAATTTCTAGCACCCACACTCCAGCATGTTTTTGGCCTCGTGGAGACGTTTAATCCATTTGCCCTGGTATTTCCCGACTAGCTCCTCTTTTACTCCTGGCCCAGCTGACCCTCCGGCACGGCCTCTGAGCTCTCTCTCGCAGACGCCCTTATCTCTCACCCAGGTTTGAGTCTGACCCTCTCACCCCGTGCCTGGATCTGAGGAGCTAGCTGAATGTTGCTGGAGAGAGTGACTGCCACGTGCTAGATTGCAGCCCCAGCCTCCTGTGGGATGCTGCCTGGATCCTTCCCTGTTTCTCCATTTCCTGCTGCCTTTGTTTCCTGCCAGGCTGACAAGTGAAACACACTCCCTCCCCTACCCCACACATTACTGGGGGCTTCTGCCCCCTCTCACTGGGTCCAGGATCCTTGGAAAGGTGTCACCTGGATCTTTCCACCCAAATCACCAGAGCCTGCCTGCACCTTTGCCCACATCGTCGCCTTTCCCTCCTGCAACGAAGGAAGAGCTGTTCCTGCTGCACCCAGGACCTTCTGGCCCATCCACCCAGGGCTGGGTCCTGCCCCTGCCCTCCCCTCAGGGGCTCTGCTCTCCCTCCTGCGGAGTCACTGCTCTCTCCACTCCGTCCGCCTTGAAGCATTCAGCCAGCACCGCATATGCTGCCATGCTTCTCGGGCTCTTCTCCCGCATTCTCACTCCTCTGTCCCCTTACCACTGGGTGGGGCCATCAGCATCCCAGCATCTCCTGTCTTTTGAGAAGCTTGTGACCACTGTTTCCCTCCAGCGACTTAGCCGTTCCTTTGCTCCCTTCTCGCCGGATGTGCAGAGAGCTGTGTCCCACCTCTACTTCCTTGTCCTCCAGTTCTCCTCCACCCATTCCAAGCAGGCTTTCATGAGGCAGCCTTTGCCAAGCTGCCAGGAACCTCCATGGGGCCAACTCCAGTGGGGGCCGCTCCAGCCTCTTCTTGGAGCTAGAGCTGTGCAGCCTGCCTGCCCTCTTGAGCCTCGCTCTTATCCTGGCCTCTGGCCTCTCTGGCTGCTGTCCTGGGTCCCCTCTGTGGCTCCTCCCTGGCTCACCCCTGCCCATTGGCTGGCACCACACTTCCGTCCTGGCCCTTCACCACCCTCTCTCCCCAGGAGGCCTCACCTTCGTGTTTCCGCTGCCCATGTGCACACCTCCAGCCCTGACTCCTCACTTGAGCTCCCAACTGAGTTTCCAGCTCTCTACATGGATGCCCAAAGGGCACCTCAAGCACACCTGGGCAAAAGAGGACTCCCAAATCCGGGTCTACCTTCCCCTAGTCCCCCACTGCACCAACTACAACCCTAGGAGTTTCTCAGGGTCCTGCCTTCCCCCATTCTCCTGAGGACCACCCAGTAAACCGGCAAATCCTATTAGCCCTCTCCTAGGTCTATCCCAGGTCTCCCCGCTCCCTTCTCCCAGGCCTCCCCTGCTGCAGGCATCCTCGCTCCCTGGAAGACAATGGTCCCTGCGCTCACTCTGCCCGCCAGCGGAGGGACTTTATGCTCTAGGCCAGATTGTGTCACTGGGGTTAGGGGACCATGTGGGTGCTGTCCCCAATTCCCCTGGATTCCTTTTTCCTGTTTTTGCCCCCATGCCCTGCATGGCTTCTAAGAGGCACCACCTGTGGCTCTTTTACAGGGGCTGCCCTAGGTAAATTTCTGTTGGCCCCACCTGGAGCAGCCCCAAGCCAATGACTGCCAGGTGCAGGACTCCTTTTTCTGGGATCAGAAAATTCCCCTTCACTTACCCTCCAGAGTACCCTGCAGGATGAGGCCTGAGGCCAGGCCTGAGACCACCCCACTGCCTGGTTGGCCTCCTCTATCCTCCTCTCGCTCCGTTCCCTACTGGCTTCGTCTGGAAGGTTCACCTCATATCAGTTGTACCCAAATCCTCATTTCAGGAGCAGCTTCTGAGGAGCTGCTCCAAAGCTCTCCGAGTCAGGGCCTGGAGCCAGACTGTCCTGTCCAAATCCCAGCTCCACCCTTACCACCTACGAGACCTGAGCAAGTGCCTTCCCCTCACCCATTTCCTCATCTGTAGAGTGGGCCATTGAGGGAGACTGTTCTTGTTCTTCAGGAATTGTCTAGTGGGATCCAAAACTGAGAACATGGAAGCCTTGAAGCCCCTGTGTTTCCAAGCAAACCACTGTCGCCAGTGGGGAGGGAGATGACCCCATCTCTAATGTGGCCGAAACGGGCTCTGCAACCCCAGCCATCAACCATCCTTCTGACTCCAACCAACCACATCTCCCCACATGCTAACAGGAGGTTCCCAGAGGATCACGTGCAGAAATGTGGGATGCCTGCAGAGGCAGACGTGGCCCCAGTTAAATGTCTCTATAATCAGTGAGAGACAGCAGGCGGGGTAGGTGGGGGCGAGGTGGGCCGGGAAGCAGCCAGCCCTCCAGCTTGTGCTATGGCAAGGATCGTGAGATGTTCAAAGCAAAGCAGGCAACTAGGAAGGAGTCCTGGCTGGGCCTCACTGGGACCGCTAAGAGGGCTGCTTGCAGGGTGAGGGGACCACAGCCCCCATGCTGCAGGGGGAGCACTTTAGGAGGAGAGGGAAGTTGGGCAGGGAGTGGAAGAGGTCAAGCCAGGTCAGGCCTCCCATGACAGGGGCTCTATAGTCAGCAGCCCCCACCCCCCCACACCCAGATGGCTCCCCAGAGAACTCACACACGCTAAGCTGGGAGATCCAGGCCCCCCCATTCCACCTCACCCCCACCACTGTCCCCTCTCACTCCCCTCTGGCCACCCTGATCCCTCTCCTGGGGCGTCCTCAGAGCTGCCCAGCCACACCTGCCTCAGGGCCTCTGCACTGGCCGTCTCCTCCCCATATCCGGAGCTCCCTCCTCCCAGACACCCAGGGGTTCACTCCCTCACTCCACACAGCTCTCTGTTCCAAGGCTGGGACCTCAGCGAGGCCTCCCCCAATGGTCTGATTTACAGCCGACCCTTTCTCGGTCCCCATCCTGTTTGGGACATAGCTCCCATCTCCCTCCTCATCGCGGGTGTCCATCTCATTCACTGACTCTCACTAGGATATGAGCTCTGCAAGGGCTGGGCCCTTGTCTGTTTCCTTCACCACAGCCGCCTCAGCACCTGCCATAGGGCCTGGCACACATAGGCACTCATTGCATATTTGGGTAAGAAGGAAGGCATGTATATTTGGGTGCCTGCCACACAGACGTCTCAACAGTGAGCCGGTGTTGGTCAAGGGAGACCCTAAAGCCCCTGATAAAATAACCATGTCTTGACCCTTTCTCTGAAATCCCTCATGCCACACCCCAGCATGCCAGAGGAAAAAGGAATGCCAAGAGGGGATAGAGGTCAGCAGGGTAGAGATCCCACTGTGGCCCGCAGGTCACCAGCCCTAGCTGGCAGGGGAAGGTGGGCATTCAGTTGAAGGTGAGATTAAGGATTCCTTTTATTTTCTTTTCCCTTCTTTCCTTCCTTCCTTCCTTCCTTCCTTCCTTCTTCTCCTTCTCCTTTCTTTCTTTCTTTCTTTCTTTCTTTCTTTCTTTCTTTTTTTGACAGAATCTCGCTCTGTCACCCAGGCTGGAGTGCAGTGGCGCAATCTCGGCTCACTCTAACCTCTGTCTCCCAGGTTCAAGAGATTCTCCTGCCTCAGCCTCCCGAGTAGCTGGGATTACAGGCACTCACCACCACACCCAGCTCATTTTTGTATTTTTAGTAGAGACAGGGTTTCACCATGTTGGCCAGGCTGGTCTCAAACTCCTGACCTCAAGTGATCCACCCACCTCGGCCTCCCAAAGTGCTGGGATTACAGGTGTGAGCCACCGCGCCCAGCCTGAGATTAAAGTTTTCATCCCAACTGGATTAGATTTAGTTTGCAGAAAAGACCGTAGGTTTCTGGGATCTACACAAAGGTAAGCAGGTGAGCTAGTCAGGGAAGCTGGACGCAGAGACTGGAGCCAAGGAAAGATCTTATTGAGCACTCCATCCATGACCCAGGCAGGCCTAAGGAGGAGAGAGCACTCATGACCCAGGCAGGCCTAAGGAGGTGAGAGCACTCATGACCCAGGCAGGCCTAAGGAGGTGAGAGGCCTAAGGAGGAGATCCCACCACATGGGATCTTGTGGGCTGAGCCATGTGCCTGCACACCATAGCACTCAGCTCATCTTGTTCTTTTTCCTGAGTCCCTGCTGTGTGACTCTGAGCTAGTCCTGCCCTTCTCTGGGCTCCAGGGCCTCCATTTCTACAAAGGCCATGTTGTCCAGGCCCTTCAAAGGCAATGTTCAAACTAGGGGTGCATCTTTCAGTGAGTCGTGCAGCCATTTATTGATTAGGCCTTATTTTAATGGAATAGAATGGAAAATATCAGAGCCCACTGCAAGTCACATTAAATATTACTTTATGAAGCTTCTGTTTATGCAGACACAAGTCTGTGCAGATGTGTGTGCACAACACACACACACAGCAAAAATTTTCTGGGTCATGGTGCAAAATATATTATTCCTATGGGTCCAGTCAAAAAAGTTTGCAAGTTGCCAATCTTGAGGTTCTGGAAATTCTGCACGTCTTGGACAAGCCAGGGCCCGCCAAGGTACAGACAGGTGGTACTGGCCATAGGCTGACCCTGGGAACTGGAGAGGCGTTAGGGTATTTCTAGGACCCCTGGCCACCCCCTGAAGCTTTTTTACAACTCTCCAGCCACAGACCAGAGAGCAAGGTTGATGGGGAGGGGAGCCGGGCACGGAGGAGGCTGATGGTGCTGCCAAAGCCTGGCAGAGGCATGACTTGAACAAGGTCATTCGTTGAGATGGTTGTGGGCTTGGAGGACTCCTGGCTCCCACCCCCTCCCCAGTCCGCCTGGCTCCCCACCTCAGTTGGGGTTCGGGTGTCTCCGCCAAAGCTGCCTGCTCCCCCTGAGGACTTTGGCCCCGTGATGTCACAGGCTGGTTGCCATGGGGACATCAGGTAATGAACCAGCCCAGGGTGAAATCACAGGCTATTCTTCGCCCAGCTGGGACTGGTGGCCACGTCACCACTGGCAACTGGAAAAACACAGAGTGTCATGTGGCGTGGGGGCTGGGAGGCAGCCCGAGGGGACCGCTAGCACCTGCTCCTGTGGCTCCCTCTCCCAGAAGGACACCCCCTTTCTTTCAGTCCACATCCTACTCTCCTGACCTCAAGGTCAGAGATCCCTTCTCAGACCTGCTCCCTCCCCCACCTCCTCTGTCCACAAGAGTGACAGGCTTCTGGTTGCCATGGCAACCTGAAGAGGGCCATCTTGATCCTTCAAGGAGAGGGTGTCAACCAGATGTCTCCTCCAGCCCTCTGTCTTCAACCAGAGCTTCTCCTCTGCATCTTGAGGGTGCTTCCTGCCTTCCTATGCCAGCTCCTCTTCAAACTGCTTTAGAGTCTAACCTCCCAGACAGTTCCTCCTGATGTCCAGCCTAAACCCCTCTTGTTGCAGTTCCCATACTCGTCTTCTCTACTTGATCCTTGGGTGAGTCTGCAGCACAAACCCTCAGGCTCCTCTCATCTGCTTCAGGGTCTTCCAACTCCTTTAAGCCGTTCTTTGGGGCTCTGTGTCCCAGCCCATTAGTCACCATGGTTTCCATCTACCCCAAGAGTGTCTCCCAGGGCTCTGTACCCCAGAGGGCAGAGAGGGACCACGTTTGACTCTGCAGCAGCCCAGGGAGGGTAAACATCCTCTTGAAACCACACAGGAACTGAGCAGCAGCCTGGGGTCAAAGTGTCCCCTGATGCTCCTCCCCGGCCAGCCTCGGGCTTCTCCGCTCAGCTTCTCAGGGCACCTGTAGCCAATGCGGCCCCTCCAGCCAACCATTGCTCGGGTATGTACTGCCCAGCTGTGACGTGCCGGGCTCTGCCCTTGGCTCTGAAGAGAATATAAGCGGCCAAGGCATTCCTCTTACAGTCCCTGAGCTGGGTTTAAGTCCCAACTTCTCACTTTCTGCTCAGGGGGTGGGCATGCGACTTAGCCCCTGTGAGCCTTGGATTCTCATCTGTGAAATAATACCAGCCCGGAAAGGGCTGCAGCAAGGACGAAGCACCTACCACAGCAAGCAGTCTGTAGGCAGCAGCCGCTCCAGCCCACTCCCCTCAGTGTCTCTCTCTGGACAAGGGACACATCTTAGTCAGCCACTCCTCTGGTCTTGTCCCCAGGGCTGGAGCTGGCCCTGGAGGCTCCGCAAAGGGAAGCCCTTGAGGGTGAGTCCTTGGCCTCTCTGCCTGTTGAATCACTGCCAGGGGAGCAGGCCACAGAGCTTGGCAGAGGCCAGGCCTTGAGTGGACTGAGTGTCCCCTCCCTCCCTAGGATGTTTGTTTACGGGTCACCTGAGCCGTGACAGTAGCTCATCCATGCGTTGGCTCAGCTCAGAGCTCTCCAAGGGGGTCCCTTTCCCTCCCTGTGCAAGGATGGAGAGAGAAAATGGGCTCCTCCCCGGAACTTCCACACACTCCAGCTCCTCCCTACTTCCTTCCCCAGGCTCCCTCCCATCCTGTGACCTGGTCTCTGGGAACATCTTGCTCTAGCCTCACCTCTCCCAAGCAACCTGCCCAGATTGGCCTCTGCTGGATTAGGTGACTCCCTCACCTGTGGCCCTAATGGCTAAAGTCTGGCCTGCAGTGATTTGCCGCCACTGTTTACTGAGCAGGTGCGACAGTACTGTGTCAGGTACTGTCCTAGGCCTATTCACCCATGATCTCTCATTTAACCCACACAACAATCCTGCAAAGTAGGTATTATGCCCATTTTACAGATAAGGAAACGGAGGCTCAGAGAGGATAAATCACTTACGCGAGATCACCCGCTAATAAGCAGCAGAGATGAGGGTCACACTTTGGCCCGTGTGAAACTCCAAAGCCTGTGCCCCAACCACTAAACAGGGCTGATCTCCAGACAGGGTCCTCGGGTCATCCTTCCAAGGGTTCATGCATCCTGCCTCCCCCATTAGACTACTCCACGGACAAAGCTGTACCTCTCTCATCAGACTGTGAGCTCCTGAAGGGCAAGGTCCCACCTACCCTTTCCTCAGTCCCTGGTATAGGACTGCTTGGAAACTATGGGTGGCTCTGGTGGGTCCCCTTAGAGTTTGTGCCTTCACCCAGACATGACCAGATGTCTGATTTTCCAGAAGAAAATTCTCGGTCTCTCGTTTCTACTCTCACCTCTGACCCCACCAGCCCCCAGTGCATTGGAGACCCCCAACGTGGGGCCAGGAGGCTGATCAGTTGGCCTGGAGGAGAGGGCTGGGGCATGAGTGGGCAGGCAGAGTGGTTATGGCACCAAGGGCATGGAGTGGGTACTGAGCCCCTGGAACTGGAGAGAAGCAGGGCAAATATTCCTCTCTGTTCCATACAGACTGCCACTGGTTGCAGAGCCCCAAACAAATAGGGACCATTCAAGTTTTCCAAGAGATTGTTTTTCTAAGCACTGGCCGTATACTGAGCACCTCTTTTTGTTTTTGAGACAGGATCTTTGTTGCCCAGGCTAGAGTGCAGTGGAGCAATCACAGCTCACTGCAGCTTCGACCTCCAGGGTTCAAGCCATCCTCCTGCCTCAGCCTCCCAAATAGCTGGGACTACCAGTGCACACCAACACACCTAGGTAATTTTTTAAAAGTTTTTTTGTAGAGATGAGGTTTCACTATGTTGCACAGGCTGGTCTTGAACTCGTGGGCTCAAGTGATCCTCCCACCTCAGCCTCCCAGTGTTTAGATTATAAGCATGAGCCACAGCACCTCTCTCTCTATAGGGACATAAGAAAGCAAAGGACAGGGTTTCCACACTCAGGCTCTGGGGTCGCACTGACCTGGATTCAAGTCCTGCCTCTCCCTGCCCTGGCCATGTGACCTGAGGGAAGACCCTCCCGTTCTCTGAGCCCCATGTCCTTTGTCACAGGGTTGAATGAGAACTAACTAGGTCAGGAGAGCAAAGGCCCAGCCCGGCTCAGGATAAGCGCTCAACAAACGGTAGCTTAAAAATAGATAATGAACACAAAATAGCTCCTGGAAACAGCATTTGTTCCCTTAATCTGGTCCCAATCACTTTCTCAATATCCTCAGCACCTCGAGTGCCTGCCACCCACTGCCTTTCCCATGAGGCAGGATGCGGCTAAAAACCTCCATAGGTTTCCCCTTTCAGCCATGAAGGCCTGTATTAGCTGTCTGCACAGACAGGTAATAAAAATTAAAGGCCGGGCGCAGGGGCTCACACCTGTAATCCCAGCACTTTAGGAGCATGAGGTAGGAGGATGGCTTGAGGCCAGGAGTTTGAGATAAGCCTGGGCAACATAGTGAGAGCCTATCTCTATTATAATATATACAATATTAACATTAAAAGTAAAAATGAGAGCGATAGCTAATATGTACGAGTGCTTACTATGTGTTGGGTACTGGTCTGAATGCCTTACATGAATTAAGCCATTTAGTCCGCCCAGCAACCCTATGACATCAATAATATTATAATTCCCATTTTAGAGATGGGAACACTGAGATACACACACAAGGTCAAGTCACTTGCTGAGGTCACAGAGCTAGTAAATGGTGGAGCCCTGCTTCCTATTCTGCACTCCTAGCCTCTCTACCAAGTATGCAGATGCTAACTGCTGCCAATGCTGGGATGGGGTGATTTTCCCAGGTGTGGCCTGACCTAGGTTTTGGGGTTTGGCTGGATGGCCCCGGCTGGGTGCAAGCTCTGGGCTCAGTATAGGCATCAGCCTGAGGCCTGCAATCCTTGGCCTTGGCCAAGGGTGGACGCACTCCCTTCACCCTTCCTTCTGCAGCAGTGCCTACCTGGCCTAAGAGGCACTCAGCACTCAGAGGCTACGATTAGCAATCGATTGCCGGTGCAGGGGCCAGGTGGGGGCACAGGAGCCCACAGGAGCCTGCAGCTCCAGGAGAGTAGACAGGTGCAGGCACCAGGGCCGAGGGCTGGCTGTGAGTGCAGAGACTGAGGCCCCAGCCTGTAGAGTCAGCATGCCGTGGTTTAAATCTTGGCTTATCCTTTCCTAGCTGTGTGGCCCTGGACAAGTCTCTCCACTGCCCTCTGCCTCTGTTTTCCCACTCGTAAGACGGGGACTGTGTTCATATATAACCCAAACTAGCTTTATCTGCCTAAAACTTTCAGACTAGTATGCACTCGGAGAGCATCAGTGAGGAGGAGAGAGCTGGGTGGGTCAGTGATGCAGCCACCCAGAGTCTCTGGGACCCTGGCCGTCCCCTGCCCACGTGGCTCCCCATACTATTTTCACCTCAATCCAACTTTTTGGGTGTATGTTGAGACTGTCAAGGGCCCCATCTTCTCAGGAGGGGGACAAGGCTGGACTATACAACTAGATCTGGGGGGCACTGGGGAAGCCCAGGCTGCAGAAGGAAGGGTGGAGGGAGCGCATCTTGGCTGCTGTGGCCCCAAAGAACCCTGGCAGAGGGGGCAGTGGAGGGACCCCCAGCTGTGGGGTCAGAGGACCTGGGCCCCAGCCTCTCAGGGTGACCTTAGCAGGCGTCTCTTCCTCCTCAGCCTCTGTCCCGTGCTCAGTGGGTCCTCAGCTCAAAGGCCAGTCCACTGGGGCTGGGACCCCAAGGTGCCTGGCATGGGGTGGCCAAATGAAGGGGAAGGGACCTGGCCACTGAGGAAACACTCAGATCCCCTCCACCTGGAGCCAGAGACTGCCTAGAACCTTTGGGGTTTCTGGAGCCTGGTGCTCCTAAAGAATCCTTAGCACTCCTCACTCTTCAAACTCCCTTCCCCTCTCGCTAGGCTGCAGGCCTCATGGACCAGGTGCTGTGCTGGGTTCCTTGCTGGTGGATGCCCAGCATGCACACGGTGCCTGACACATGGCAGCTATCATGTTAATATCAGCTTAATGCATAGATAAGTAAAGGAACCTCACACAGCCTAACCCTGTACCTTCCCCTTCCCCAGCCGCGATTCCACCCGATACCTCCCAGAGACATCCTGAGCCACTTACCTGAATGCCCACAGGAACTCCTGAGCAGAAGCCCTTAGGGTCCAGAGGATCGGGGAAGGGCGTTACGCTCCCTGCTCAATACCCCCAGGACAAGGTCCCCTCTATTCTGGGTAAGCTACTAGGGTTGATGGGTGTGGTGGTGGTCAGTGGGTTTGGCCTCAGCCTGCAGAGCCTGAACCAAGGCCAAAGCCACCCCCACTCCCAGCCACACCCCCCTGATCCCACTGTGGGGTGAACAGACCAAGGTGGGAGAAGAGCTCAGCCCAATCGCTTGTCTAAAATGTTGCCCAGCGGCCTGTTGGAAAGCTGGTGGTGATGGGTGGGGGTGGAGGTAGGGGGCTCCAAAGACCAACCTGCCCATCCCCCAATCTCTGTGCAAGACTCTGTGTCCCCTACTCACCGATAGAAGAGGCCAGGGCCTGCCCTGGTCCCCGAGGCAAGGGCAGGTCCCTCCACCTCCCTGGGTACCACCTCAGGGAGAGCAGAGGGTGACAGGTCAGACACAAGAGAGAAAGACCCAGGCGGTAACTGGGAACATCAGCTGTGCTCTGGCCCTTCTGTCCCCTGACCAAGGATGGGGGTGGGGAGGAGGATTAGGGATAAGGGTGGGGGCAGGGGAACCTTCTTTATAACCTGTTCCCCACCATTAACCCTTTCCTGACAACAGCGTTCAGGGACTCTGCAGATGGGGGCACCCGGTAAGAGGTGGGAAGGGGCTGTGGGGGTGAGCTGGCAAGGCCTGTGTCTTGGGGAAGGGTGGGACGGGGAGGGTCTGCTGGTTCGCCCCGTGCCCCGCAGTTCCTCCGCGAAGCCAGGAAGAACTGGAGCCTCCCCCCGCTCTCAGGCACCCGGCAGGGGGTGTGTGGCTGTAGGGATGAGAGCGCGGCACTGGACCCTGCTTCGTGTCACCTGCGGGGCTGCAAACCGGGGCGGGGATGCAGTGAGCTCTGCACGTGCACTCTTTGCGCTGCTCCCCGCCCCCCACCGTCCCCAGCCCTGTCCCCTTCAGGACGCCGCGTCCTCGGGGATGCGGCCGGGCTGTGAAGGGCGGGTCACCAGCCCCACCCCCCAGGTCTCCCAGCGGCGAGGGGACTGCACCGGTCCCCGGCGCCCGATCCCCCCACCCCCGGCCGAGCCCCCTCACCTCGCGACACGCAGGAGCCCATCACGGGGCCGCGGGGCCGGGCCGCTGCGCCCGGGGTGCGTGGGGCCGCGGGGCGTTCATGTCTCCGCGGGCCCGGAGCTGAGCACTGCGCAGCCAGAGGACGCGCCGGGCGGGGGGCTCGGGCGCCCTCGGCTTGGCTTCAACTCCAGCCCCGGTCGTCCCCGCTGCCGCCGCGCCCGGCTCGCCTCGCGCCGCCGCCT